GAAGAAACGTTCTAAGGTCTCTAAACTCAAGGTTGAACCAAATCGTTCTTACTTCAGATTAGAAATAGGTGTTAAAAACCAAAAGACGAGGGGCGCCTGGATGGCTCAGTCGGTTAAGCAGCCGACTCTTGGTTTTGGATCAGGTCATGATCTCAGGTCGTGGGATCAAGCCCCACATTGGGCTCTGCACTCAGCAGGGAGTCTGCTTGCGCTTCTCTCCCTCTCCTTCTGTCCCTCCCCCAACTCCCTCACATGCACACAAGCGCTCTCTCTCTCTCACTCAAATAAACAATCTTTAAAAAAAAAAAAAGCCAAAAGGAAAAAATCAAAGACCATCTTGTGATATCTGATCGATAGATTCCTATCAATCAGATTACCATTTCCTGAATTCCAATAAGCTTATATACCAATTACCTAAAATAAATGGCTGCAATTATTATGATTCATTTACAAGCATCTTTCGAGCTTTGTGTTTATAATAGACAAGGGGATTCAGTGATCAAAAGATACCAAGAAGACTGATGAACTTACTGACAGCTACTGGGATTTCCTTTACACAGCACTATAGTCTGAATGTCTGTGTCCCCCCAGAATCCATATAATGAGATCTAACCCCTAAGGGGATGGCGTTAAGACGTGGGGCCTCTGGGAGGTGATTAGGACATATGGGCGAAGCTCTCAGGTATGGGATTAGTACCCTTATAAAAGAGGCCCAAGGGCACCTTAGCCCCTCCTGCCATGTGAAGACACTGCAAAAGGCATTTTTTCTGAACCAGGAGGTGGGTTCTCACCAGACCAGGTCTGCTGGCACACCAATATTGGACTTCAGCCTCCAGAACTGTGAGAAATAAATTTTTGTTGTATATAAGCCACCCAATCTGTGGTATTTTGTTATAGCCACCCAAACAGAGGAAGGCAGCAGTTATGATGTCTGTTCTCACGGTTTACGGGTCTAAATCAGTTTATGAGTACCTTTACTTTAGCTCAGTGACTCCTAGTGTGTCCTGTATTAGGAAGACAATAAGCCGTTTGCTCATTCTAGCACGCTAGCAGTGGTGGATTTTACAAAATGCATGATCTACGTGACATGTCTGCAAGATAAAAATATAACCTCTTTGAGTGAGTTTCTCCTCTGCTACTAATGAATGCCGCTATGTTGTATGGATCTACAATACTGACGAATAGATACCATGGGGATGTGCATACCTTTTCTACTTAAAGAGCAATTGAGCTTGTCGTTGCTCTATTTCAGTGGGGAAGGGGAGGTCATTGGGAAGTGCCTTATCTGTGATTTTTATAGTATAAATTGCCTGCTTAGGCACTAGCTATTCTAAGATTTGCGGTTGTTTGTATTTCTAAGCAAGGATTCAGTAATCACAGAATTAGAAGATTTAACAGCTCAAGACAGCCAGATTAGTTGTTCCAAAAAAGGAGTCAGGAGATATACGAGTGTATCTTTTGTAGCACATCTTGTACCTTTTGGGTTTATTTCAATCACTTAAAAAATAGTCATACGCTAAACGACCTCTGGGAGTGGCTGCTTGGCAGGGTGAGTGAATAACCCACAGAAAAATCCCAACATCCAGTGCCTGGACTAGGGCAAGAGGAAAAGATCCTCAGCCTGCAAAAGCTCCCTTCGGATATGGAGAAAAGGAACGTGATTATAAGCTTCAGCTAGAAAATGCCTTCTTTCCTTCTTTGAGGGCCCTTAATCGAGGCCCAGATAAATAATGCATCACTGAAATGAAGACAAGGCAAGCATTTCCTTGACCTCCCAGCCTTGCTGGTGAAAGTGCCTGATCACACGGTGAGCAGAGGCCCCCTGAAAGGTGTGAGGAGGAGGCAAAGCTGCAGCAACCTTTTACTGAAGCTTCAATGCCCCTAACTAAAGAACGGAGTTGAAACGGTTAGAAAGGGTCTGCTCACCAGCAGGCTGCTTAGGAACCTCAACAGTCATCTGGGGAAACTGCAGCTTCCTACAAAATGTTTTCTACTTGGTGCAGGATCCAATATGTTGATTTCCTTATCTGGGCCTAAAAACCTCAACAACAACAATGAAAGCACTGTATAATGAACTCTTGGTTAGGGCTTAAAGCACACCCAAAGGCAACTGAGCAAGGAGGCCCAGTGGTAGGAGGAACACGTGAGAAGGGCATGTGGCCTCCGCCCTCCAGCGCCATCCCTTGGCTGCCCATGTAACAGCAGGCACGTGCTCACGGTTCATTTGTCACTGTTCTGTTGTCAAAAAGCCCGGAGTCACCAGTCCAGCCCAGGGATACATCCACAAGCTGCCTGAAGGCAATGTGAAAAGCCATCCCTGCCTTATGTGTCACTTGCTCTCTACTCATTTACTCAACGCACTCAACCTATTAATTTTTTAAGCAATTCTATTTCCTCAATAGAAAAAAAAAAAATTACCTTTAAAATCTTTACTGAGCATTGGATTTTTGGAGTTGTTACAAGAGTTGTTACACGATCAAAACAAACAAACAAAGAGGTGAGACGAGTGATCTCAAGGATAATGTCCTGTTGACAGCACATGGACCCCGATGCCACAGTGGGCAGGGTAAAATGGTGGCAGCATGGACTGCCAGTCCACCTGGCAGAGCATCGTGCCGCAGGAAGGCTTGGAGGAAAGTGGTTCATTCTCAGAGGCTTATCAAGCCTTGGTCTCTGCCAAGGCTGTCAAAGCACTCTACTCTAACAAACCTCTCATGGGGGCAGATTTCTCTTATGAGCAGAAATGCTTCTAAAGACTCCCTGGGGTCCATGAGGAAGCATCTTTGTTCCTACTGGGAACCCAAGCAAAAAGTCTTTATATTCCTTCCACTCTGTCTTCCAATGCCTCTGCAGCTTTTCACCACTATGAAGAGAACATGCCACAACAGAGGAAATGCCACAACAGCAAATCGAATGCTACACACACACACACACACACACACACACACACACACACAAAGCTGAATAAAACCATCAGCAGAATGACTGCAGGAAAACAATACAAGGCAGAAAACTTTCAGATGATATTCCCTGGACAAATAACTCACTTGAAAATTCTTTCTCAGTATATGTACATCCCTTTAGTGTTTTAATATAATCTTCTGTGGTACAGTGGTTAAGAGCAATGAGCTCTGGAGAGAGACAGGTTCAAATCCCAACTCTGCCATTTATATCTGTGTGGTCTTGGACATGTTTTGTTTTTTTAACAAGTTCTGTGCCTTAGCATTCTCCTCTGTTCCTCTGTTAAACAGAGATAGTAATCGAGCTGTTATGAGGATTAAACATGTTAATACATGCAAGACATTTAGAATAATGCAAATAAAGCTGTGATCATTATTATAGTTCAAAATTGCTTTCACGTGTATTATTATAGTTGTCCCCACAAGCACTCTATGAAATAGAAGTGATCATTTTATCTATGTTTTACTGATGAGTACGAGGCTCAGTGAAGTGATTTGCTAAAAACATAAATAATCTGGCCAAACCAAGACTTGAATTGTGGTCTTTTGACAATAAACCTTGGATTATTTTCCATTACATTGTATTATTTACATGTAAACAACAGCAAAAACAGCTATTACAAAATACAAACATTAAATTCCTAAAAAGAAGAAAACTATTGAGAACATCATAGTACCTAATCTAGGAATTCATTCTTGGAATAACAAATGATGAGTTGATGGCAGAATTTAGCTAACATAACTAAAGCTCATTTTTAGATTCAGTGTGTAGCAATTTGGAACCCCCAAAATTCTGAAGTGAGGGGGGGAGGAAGATATATATCAATTTGTATTCATTGTTGTAAATTTTACTTTTTGTGAAAATAGGTAAGCTGTCACCTTGAGAAAATCCAATATACAAAAATGCAGAACTACAAGATGGTTGAGTGACTTATTACAAAAGGAGCCACCGAAGGGCTCAAATGTTTAAATGTGAGCCCTGCCATCTTATGTTGCTATAATTCGCAAGCTAGCAATGGACTTCTGATCAGTGACATTCAGGCTACACCCTCTTAGATCTAGAAGATTGAGAATTTCATCCCTCAGAATTCTTCTCCACATGACACTTAGAGGAGACAAGTTTTATGAGACAAGCAGAAGATTGGTGAATATAAATGAACAACTGGCAGATATTCCTTCTTTCCTAATGAATTTTGTAATTTAGAGCATTTGAATGGATCCCTAGGGGAGGAATTCTTTCATGACTAACACTCTTTCCAGTAATTGCATCTATTCTAATTCATAAAATTTGAATGTGTGTTAGCCTTCAAGAACTTGTCTTCTATTTAATAAACTATTAATTTTTTTAAAGATTAACCTTTTAATTTATGAATCTAGTTTTGATTTTTAATATGCACTCTACATACAAATTATCCCTCAAAATAATTTTTAAAAACTATGTGGACAGATGCACATTAAAAACTAAATTTCAAGCAAGGATTGTACGCTAAAAATTATCATCTTAAATAAAAAGACACATAAACTCTGAATGACCAGCAAATTGCACTGTACATATATCAGTATATATCAGTGATATATATATATTCAGCTCACTATCAGGGTTCTGTCCAACCTTTACAAAAGTCCACACAAACTTCCCTTTAAGTTCACCTGAGCAACTCACATTTAATGTCCTTTCATCCAAGTCAACCAATGTCCATTCCATAGCTAAAAAACACCCCCCTCTTCACTGTTAATTCTGAAATTATGTTTTCAATACAAGTTGTATAATATTCTAGAACTATGCCTCTTAAAGCCATTCAGATGGAAATATTTCATCCCTTTGATATGTACTTAAAAATCTATAAAATTTAAATAAATCTCACTAGTGAACATTACTGAGACATAAAGTATTATTTAGGCCAAAGAAAGGAAATCAGATTTTTCTCTAATGGTCAGAGTTTACATCTCAGTCATGCTTAAGGCTATAAGACATTACCACATAAAAAATTGAAAACAGATGGCAAAAAAGCACTTTAATGTTAAGCAGTTAATAACTGAAAATACAGAAATCTGTGAGTAATCATTTAAGCTTCCGAGACAGGTATTTTCCTTTATTCCTATGGTTAACCCTGTCTACCTCTACCTTTGGTCTGGTTTGAGGCCAACAGCTACGTATTTGTTGGCCACATGACCCAACTCCCTCAACTTCAGCAAAATGCGTGTTTCACATTCCCTCCTCCACCCCACCCACCCCGATGCCACATAGATCCCCCAACTCCCTGGTTCTTTCCTATAAAGTCAAAGTCATACCACAACACCTCTCCTACCTGTTTCCCATCCAGGGTATATAGGCGCTTCACCACTCCCGAGTCCAGCTTGATGGCATCAGTTATATCAGTGAGAACCTGCTCAAAGGAATGGGCGGTTTTCTTGTTCAGCAGAATCCTGACAGCCTTCCGTGGCTTCACCCCACTTCGGATGATGGTGACCAGCTTGGGCCGAATGAAATCCTTATTCTCCCGCACCTCCGAAGGGCTCCCTTTGGCAGTGGCCAGTGAGGACACCGCCCGGGAAGCCGAGGTGGTCTTGACATTCACGGACCAGTTGGGGTTCACGTTCTTGGTGTACTCCAGCTTCTTGAAGGGCTCTATTGAGCCACACACATAGCTCTCTCCTAAGGAAGAGAGAAATACATTTAAATTTACACTGAGGTAAGCTCATTTCCTTTTCCCTAGTCTTTGATTTTTCCTTTTCTACCAGAAGTGAGAGCAAGGTGTGACTTCTTAAACAATGGAAGCATGATTACATTTAATGAAAAGAAAGATTTTTTTTACTTCTAATCTGGCTCTGTCAACAACAGATTGATATCCTAGAGAGGGAAAATGATCATTCTTCCCTTTCTTTGTTTTCTGACTGCTTTTTTCTGTCAAAAATACTGATACTGAGTCGACCTCAGGAATAAAATTTAATTCAAAAAAGAAAGTATTCTTTGGGATTTGGGGGTACTTATATTTGCAGAAAACTTCAAAATCAGAGGTACTTACATTTAGTAATAATGTAAATAATAACATAATTTGAAAACCTAAATTGGATCAGAAAACAGCTTCTTATAACAGTTCAGGACTTCACTGTATGGTGACAGCCGATAGCTACAGTTGTGCTGAGCACAGCGTAACAAAGGTACAGAGGAGTTGAATCACTGTGTTGTACACCTGACAGTAATGTAACATTGTGTGTCAGCTATACTCAAAAAAAAAAAAAAAAACCCCACAACCATGTAATTTATAACTTTGATGGGAGTGTGTGCTGAACATTTTGTAAAGTCAAGTAAAATTCCAAAAGCAAGCAAAATAACTGTCACCAGCTAGACCCCAAGACCTGACCTTTGCTGATCACCTGCTTGGACCCACCAACCTCTGTCCCACAGTTTTCCTGAAGCTCGTTTTTCCAGCTTATCTCTTAATCAGGCAAAAGCCCCAAGGGGCATAGCATCCCCTGAAGGAAACCAGAACTACCCCTCAAGCAATAATGACTTCCTGGAGGAAGGCTCTGGCCACCCAAACCACCCAGACCAGCTGGAGTTTTAATCGCTAAGTCAGGGCCCCTCAGATGGACCATGGTGAGGCCAACAGTTACCTTTCCCTCACTGCAATGCTAAAAATCACACCCCGAGGTGGAGACTTAACACGCAAAGGAAACAGGATGTTTGGAGCCGCATGTCTGTCAACTGCGCCTGCGCGCCCAATTCCCGTATTTCCCGCCCTACACGCTTAAACAGGGCTCCTTTCCTGCCTGGGCTCCTTTAAAACTCTCCCTGGCTGTTGTTCCGGGAGTCAGTCTGACACCTTCAGCTGCAGCTGTTGCCCCAATAAAGCCTGGCCTGTGCTTTTAAATACTGGGTCCAGCCTCGTTTCTACCGTTGCTGGGTCCAAGGACCCGGGTCCTGTAACAACCACGCTGCCTTTCCTCCCATCTACACGGGGCCAAGCACAGGGATCCACATACACTAGTAAGCCAATTCATATTTGTTTTCAGATAAAAGATTTTGAGAATGGTTAACTTAGAAACTGTAGCTTCAGAAACTGACTCTAAAATCAATGTAATTACGTAAGATGAATAAGGTCCGAGGATCTAATGAGTAACATGGTGACTATATACTGTGATATAACTGAAATTTGCTGAGAGTAGAACTTAAGTGAAAAAAGATAAATACATGAGTTAAAGAATGTGTTAATTAACGATGGAGGGAATCTTTCACAATATATACATATATCAAATCATCATGAGGTATGCTTTAAATATCTTACAATTTTGTCAGTTATAACCCAGTAAAGCTGGGGTTAAGAAAAAAAGGAAAAGAAATTAATCAATTAAATTAGATTTTATTAAAAATGACTCCTTAACACAGAATCATTTAATGAAAAAACTCAGACCACAAGTAGATGTGGCTCACACAAAAAAGAAAGTAACACATGTACCAAGTGATGATAAATCATAAATCGAATGATCCCATATATATATATATTTCATAAAGTTAGGTCAATGCATTTTGAAGTTAAAGATTTTATAATGGCTTTTTTTGTGTTAGTCTTTGTAACAGGGAATAGTTAAAATGCTAAAAAGCTTTCATAATTGTAGGTGAAGTGACCTAGGACTAATCCTACACAGCCCATTTACTTTTATCTAAATCCTTGTCCTATTTTTAAATTAATAGTGCAAGCATCTAAGGCCACTGTATCCACATAAAAATAATTGAACCAGTGTTTCAAAAATAGAAAAGCACAGCTATACATGTTATCAAACATTTACTCTGTAAGTGCTTTTAGAATATACTCTAGTGTGTGTTTATACACCATGTCTCACTAGAAGTTGTACAAATAGTAAATTTAGCAAACCCTTTTTTTATTCACCTAACAGATTATTACTGGTCCCAACTATGCTTTTCTTAAGATGTATGTAGATATCAAAAACATATGCATGGGGATCCCCACCACAGCGGTGCTTCTGAGGCTTTGTGGAGAGACTGTGCGAATGCTCTGGTTGGAAGAGAAATGGAAGTCTGAGCTCTGGCCTCTCCAAGCATGTGACCTTGGGCAAGTCCCTTAGTCTTCTCAGTGGTAGTTTATCCATCCATCAGATGAAGCCTATTCCAGTGGTGACTCAGCTCACCCAGTTCTTTGTGAAGAACAGACTAGATAACAGAGGTCAGAGTGATCTCAAATACAAAACTGCTACACAAGTGAAAAACCCCCTCTAAGGCTGCATTACCCTGATTGTGCAGTCAGCCTGAAAGGAATATTAAAAAAGAAAATCACTAGAAATCAGTGAGCCGGTCGTACATTATAAGGCGTTAATTGTTTCTAACTAGTTACCAGTAGACGTCACTTTGGGTCCATCTCAATATGAGGATGCCCCAAATGGTCCTCAACAAGGCACACACAGCCCAAAATAGAGCAGGCAAAACCCGTCTGTCAGAATTCTGTGTTAATTGGAGATAGGCACTTGTCTGATTATTTGTAAGTTTATATCCTAAGCTAATAATTAAAATAAAAACAAAGTGAGTGGTTTACACTCCAACAACAACAAAAAACCTTTTTAACTTTAAAAAGTATATAATTAGGAAAGTGAGGAATTTTAAGGTACTCACATTAACAATGTGGAGTGGGTTTGTTAAACAAGAAACTAAACGCCTTTTTTTACGTCTTCTTAAAGAACACTGAAAAAATTTTGAAGCATGACAACTTTGAGAAGGTAATGCTGATTCGGTTCAAGCAACAAGAGTGGGAAGAAACTTAGTTAAATCTGTGCTCACTTAGTGGTTCCTCTGCCTGGTTCACCAGATTCAAAGACCGCAAAGGAATCTTGGGGGAAGGGTGTGAGACTCCAATAAAGAGCCATCTTGTGCTACAAGGAAAGTGACAGCACTTTGAGGAGAGGACAGAGCTGGCCACCAAACCCAAGATCACACACCACTCACTGATGCCGTTTCGAATCTACTACACTATTCAGGAATTCAGTAAGGCAAGATGGGTTTCCTTATGCTAAAAAAGTTTCTATTAAATTGTGCAAATATATTTACATTAAAGGCTTATTTGATCCTACATTCTGAAAACTTTTATTTATTTACTTTCTAAAGATTTTATTTATTTATTTGACAGAGAGAGAGAGCACAAGCAGGGGAAGTGGCAGGCAGAGGCAGAGGGAGAAACAGGCTCCCCACTGAACAGAGAGCCCAATGCAGGGCTCCATCCCAGGACCCTGGGATCATGACCTGAGCTGAAGGCAGCCTCTTAACCCACTGAGCCACCCAGGCGCCCCTGAAAACTTTTCTTTTAACAAAAATTCTGAACTTCTTCCCACCACTAGAGTTACTGCCTTGTCTTAATTCAATTTAAAGTTGAGTTTCTGACTTTGTTAGAAAATAACTTTTCAATTAATGTGCTAATATCGACAACTGTAAGTTAGCAAATGTAATTGTTCTGAATGGAAAGAATACATAGTCTTAATTTGGTCAAATAGCTGAGTCTCCAGTGTTTAATCTCTCCTTAAATGGGGCCAAGACTTAAGAGATATGTTATATTCTTTTTTTTTTTAAGATTTTATTTATTTATTTGACAGAGAGAGTCACAGTGAGAGAGGGAACACAAGCAGAGGGGGTGGGAGAGGGAGCAGCAGGCTTCCCGCCAAGCAGGGAGCCCGATGAGGGGCTCAATCCCAGGACCCTGGGATCATGACCTGAGCCGAAGGCAGACGCTTAACAACTGAGCCACCCAGGCGCCCCTATGTTATATTCTTGATTAGAGAATCATCAACAGATTGCATTCAAGTCCTGACAGAGGTATGGGTATTAAAGGCTACTGAAAAATAAAAAAATAAAGCAATACTTGCAGTTACTGTAATAAACTTTTCATACACACTAAGCCGTCCCAAAGTTTTATGGTGTAATTTATATTGCAACAATAAAATAAAAGGTAATTTAGCAAAACCAAAGTATATTTGAGCAAAATGGTCTGATGTTGTGATTTATAATAAAAAATATATACTTGGTCTTCAAACTATTTCTGGCACAGAGCTGCTAAAACCCTTGGAATTTCCTGTGATTAGAGCAATAAAGATATTTTGATATGCATAACAAGTCCCCTTTCAACCATACTTTAGTTTATGTTAATGAGGAGGCTGCAGCAAGCACCTGAGGATGGGGGCTGGATGCCAGGGGAACAATCAGTGTGATGAGAGGGTAGAAGATTTCAGTCCACCTCCCTGACTTTAGAGGGAGGCTCTAGTAGTTGAATCCAGTGATTTTTTTTTTTTTAAGATTTTATTTATTTATTTGACAGAGAGAGAGACAGTGAGAGAGGGAACACAAGCAGGGGGAGTGGGAGAGGGAGAAGCAGGCT